AGTGCTCTGAGGCGGGGGGGGGGGGGAAGCAAGCCATATTGTATTTATGATCTATTGTTGATCATCCTCAAACATCCAAAGCATACTTAAAATTTAAGCTGCCTCCTGTTCATTTTCTGCTTATTGTAACTGTCTACAGACTGCATAATATTGAAATGAATGTATGGCCATAAAATGATCTCTGTGTTCTGTTTCTAAGTCAGCATTCTTATTTGCCATGGAAATTGTTGCTTTGCATGTGTTTCTGGTATTAAGGTGTTGTAAAATTCTAGGTTAATTTGTTTTATTTGTCAGACTTACATGAAATATGAGTTTTCATAATACTAGGTGTATGGAGGTGCTTTCAACTTAAATTCATATTTGTGTACTCAAGGCTTGGATTAAACTGATCGAATGTTTCCCTGATGATTTATTGATCAGATGAACTTGGCATTTGAGTGGAGCCCAGAAAGCCTGTAGCTTATTCACTTGAAAAGGATGCAGCCTTAAAATTTGAGCAGATCTGTTTCACTTTCCTTGTTAAATGGACAAAGCAGAAAAGAATTTCATCTTACTATTGTATATCATGCTTTTCTGCACATTAACATCTCTGTGGCTTGAGAGAACCTTCTTCAGATTGGCTATAAGGCAAACAGATCCACAGAGGATGCCATCAACACTACTCTGCATACTGCTCTGTCACATCTGGAGCAGCTGGGGAGTTATGTGAGGCTGTTGTTTGTGGATTTTAGTTCTGCCTTTAATACCATCCTCCCAGATAGATTAGTGTCCAAATTGGAGGGCCTTGGACTCTCCAGCTCCATATGTTTCTGGATTTTGAACTTTTTGACAGCCCGCCCCCAGAGGGTTAGAGTAGGGTCCTATATGTCCACAGCCCTTACCCTTAATACCGGTTCTCCACAAGGTTGTGTGTTGAGCCCCTTGCTCTACACACAGGATTGTACCCCCACCCACCCCAGTAACACCATCATCAAGTTTGCTGATGACACCACTGTGGTGGGGCTCATCTCTGGGAATGATGAGTCTGCTTATCGGGATGAGGTGGAACGGCTTTGTGTTTGGTGCAGGGAAAATAATTTGATCCTCAACACCACCAAAACCAAGGAATTGGTAGTGGACTATAGGAGGAACAAAACGGACATTCAGCCACTGTTTATTGGTGGAGAACGTGTGGAGAGGGTGGCTACTTTTAAGTTTTTGGGAGTGATTATTGAGCAGAACTTGACTTGGAGCACTAACACCACTGCTCTGGTGAAGAAGGCCCAGCAGAGGCTTTTTTTTCTCAGACTTTTAAAGAAAAATAACTTGAGTGAGAAAATACTGATGTCTTTTTATCGCTGCTCAATAGAGAGCATTTTAACATACTGTGTCTGTGTCTGGTTTGCCAGTTGTACGGCTGTGGATAGGAAAGCACTCCAGAGAGTTATCATCACAGCCCAGAAGATTATTGGCTGTCCTCTCCCACTCATGGAGGAATTGTATAGTTCTCGATGCTTGAAAAAAGCAAAGAACATTTTGCAGGATTTGTCACACCCTGAACACTCCCTGTTTGAACTGCTGCCTTCGGGTAGAAGATATAGGACAATCAAAACAAGGACAAACAGATTAAAAAACAGTTTTTATTCGAGAGCTATTATTGCTTTAAATGCTGTATGAATTGGAATTTGGGTGACATTGGTGGTTAAGTTGCAATGTGAACCCTAATGGTTGTGTGAGTGTATATGAGTATGCTTGTAGATCACCGAATGATTGCACCTTAATTTCGTTGTACTATGTACAATGACAATAAAGTATATTATTATTATTATTATTATTATTATTATTATTATTATTATTATTATTGACTGTAGCAGTTTCTTTAAGGCAGGGCTTGTTGAGTTTCCCTGGTTGACACCACCTGTCTTTGGCTACTGCAACTGCAGCAACGGAATGCATCCCTTCATTCTCCAGGTCAGCAAAAGCTTCTGAAATGTGTTAGTATTTAAAGAGCCACAAGAGTCTCTAGTTGCTGCACCCTGATTTTCAGGCTGCACAAAACATCTTGTGCATATTGAGCAAAGGGTGCTGACGATAGGTGTAAGTCCCTGTCAGTGGTAAAAAATCTCTGGTAACTGGCATTACATTTTATGGCACACACCGCTGGCTAACAAATGAGTTCGACACCTCTGGTAGAGCCATTGCCACTGCAGTTTTGAAAATAGCTGCCTCAGCTTGCATGCACTCCAGTCTCTTTTCAGGGAAGCCAGGACTACACTGACGTAGCTGTAGCACAAGGCTCAATCTCCGCAGGAACAACTATGAGGTAGCTGCACTGATCAGCCCATCTTATTGTACATGGGCACACTTTCCCTCCTCTTATCAACTCATTCAAATAGCACCTTCCTGGGGTCAGTTGGAGGTAAGAAGCATGGGCCACTGCATTGTGCCTTGCTTCTGAAATACTCTCCTCTAGAACAGCAACCACTGAAAATCTGCCTGCCTTCATGCCTCCCCACCCACCTGGACTGTGGTGGGATGGGATTACTGAGCTAGACCCCCGGTCTACAATGCAGTGGTGCCTGTGCTTTTTAATGGGCATGATGGTACTGGGAGTGAGGATGACCTCACCAATGCCCAGCCCAAGCAGTTACCAAGCTATACGTTATCTCTAAAAATGTGAGTGCCACGGAACTCAATTTGTAGTTGGGACAGGGACAGGCCAGTGAGAGAATGCACATCTGAGTTCAGAAGGTCCAACTCATGAGGAAAGCCCTGGTGCACTGCTGGAAGGGAAAGGGTGCACAAACAGCTCTGGGAAGAAGAAGGTGTGTGCTAACAGCCCTGGAGAAAGCCAGCAGCGATTAGCTGCAGTTGGGAGTGGGTGGGGTGGCAGGTCACCCAAACCAAGGTGCTCCTTAAGCAGCCAGAGGCTGGTAGGGGTGTCTGATGGAACAGCCACACAGAATGCAACAAGGTATAGTTAATTTAAACTGGAATTACACTCACATTGACCAAGTAAGTATCCTGATGTTGGGGCTGCCAGAGCTGTAGATGGAGGAATCCCGCCCCACTTCCAATAGCCCTATACAAGGATCACCTGGATTGCACATATAAGTCCACGTTGTTTTCTCCTCTGTTCAGCTAAGCAGCCAATAGCACAAGCAGGTGTTGGCTAAGAAACAGAAGGTAAAAAAAGAATTTTAACTTCCAAGGACATCCAAATCTCTTAATTCATGGTGAGAATTGAGTCTTACCATATGCCTCTGCAAGAAACAAGTACTGGCATTTTTGCAGAGCCTAGGAAAGGGGCAGATTCATGTTTGTAATGGCAGATTGCTGATATGATTTTTCCTTGGTAAATATCCAGCTTTTCATAATTTAGCATCAGCCGTTTGTACTTATGCCTTTTCTACTCCTGAGCGCCAGAAACACTTCAGGGCAGCTTGACAGCAGGTGTGAGCTCAGCGGTGAACAGAACCAGATCCCAAATTAGCCACACTTGGCTAGCCAAAGCCTGTAATACACTAATAATAAACTGAATACTCCCATGAAGTAGCCTGATTTATCTATATTCACCTCTGGATACTTTTTTTTTTAATTCCAGCTTAATTTAGGAGGTCATCAGAAGTTTCAGAGATGGAATGGGCAGATTGCTGTACATTGGGTTCTTTTCAGTAGCCTTGTCAAAATTGAACTCTACATACGCATAAACGATACTCAAGTCTGTGCTATACACACTACAATGCATGCCATGAAAGTCAAGATACCAATTCATGTAACAAGCCTACATATCAGTCTAGGTCCAGTTATGACAATCCACCAAATATATACAGGTTGGGGACAGACACCCTACCACCGACCACCGACTCAACACACATAATTGTCAAAAAAGAGCGTTATTTATTAACAGTGAACAAGAACTAACTTCCTTTAAAAATGTTACGAAGAGGAGCACAGTAAAAAAAAAATCTCCCTTTTTTCTTCCCTTATTAATCCGCTTGCTCGACACCTTTCTCACCCAATTTCAATCAAGCAGGTCCATGTGCCAAGGCAGCCTTACCATATATTAATCACTTGCTGGATCAGGAAACTAAAAGTGTGGATGTGGGCTTTCAACACTTTATTGGTTTCAATGGGATGAACATTTCGATAGCCAATGTTCCATGAGCAATACAGTATAGCTACACAACACATAGAATTGCTTGGATTGAACAGGAGAGCTGCAGTGGGTGGGTCTACCCAGAATTTCTTCCATGGAGCCACTTAAGGATGGCAGCTGCAAACCGGAAGGCATAAGGTTTGAGGCTACCATTGTAAGCCCCTTCTCAGTAATGTGTTCCAGAGTGAAAGGGGTGCGTCTGTGAGCTCATAAAATCCCTTCACCTTCAGAAGCATCATGGAATTTTGATATGGGCTCCGCAAGACACAATCATCCCCTAAGCTCAAGGCACTCAAACCTGCTGGTTTGCAGGAACATATTGCTGCATTCTCCTTAGGCCTGTTTCAGCACTCAGTACATCTGTGCATAGAATGTCTCCAGCTCATAACTTCATAGGAATGTTGCTGCATGAACTTTGCTATAAACTGTAACAAGAGAGAGATTTCTTGAAAAGAAGAAAATCAGTCTTCAAGTTACCATGTCTGATGAGTCTGCCCTTTGATACGTAGTGGCATAATTCCACAAAAGTCAAATGATACTCCTCCTAACATCACTAAGCAGAACTCTAAGACTTTAACAGGGTTAACTGCTTCTTTGGGATAACTAGTATGTATAGATTCTACAATGTGATTAGCATTTATTTTCCTTGACATTTGTGGGTGGTAACAACACTATCATATTTTCCATATTTGCGGGCTCTTAAATCATGCAGTCAGCTAAGAATCCAGCTCAGAGAAATATACTCTATGTAACATATGTTATGGAGTCAATAAACACAGAAGTGACCCCTACAAATCCCCCTTCCATCCCTTAATCTTTGTCCTTCCCCGTTGTATCTGGCTTGTGTCATCCTCTCATTCCTTTAGGTTGACCAACTGGAAAAAGAACTATTAGCTAGAGAAGCAGAGGTCATTTCGAGGGGGAACGCGGGGGAACGCAGTTCCCCCGGGGGAGGGACGGGGGCGGGGCACATAACGAAGCCCCGCCCCCTGCTTCCGGCTGCCCCGCTTCCGGCCCTCATTCAGCCAGGAGGAGGCAGGAGAAGAGGGAGGGTAAGTTGCTTCCTCCCTGCCTCTCCCCACCCCTGCCTGCCTGGGGCCAGGGAGGGCCTTCACAGGGCTTCCTCGCACTCCCGCCGGCCTTGCAGGTCCACCGCCAGGCCCCAGACGGATTTTGGGGGTGGAGCCTGAGTGGTGGGTTTAGATTCAGAGGAATTAGCTGTCTTAGTCTGTTGCTGCAAAATAGTCCAAGAGTTCAAATAGCACCTTTAAGACTAACCTTTAAGATGAAGACTGAGTGGTGGGTGTGGCCTTATGACACACTTCTGGTGATGTCAGGGGGTGTGGCCTTATGACACACTTCCGGTGATGTCAGGGGGTGTGGCATATGCTAATGAGTTATGTGAATGAGTTTCCCTAGCTCTTTTTCTACGAAACGACCCCTGTTGTCTTCTATTCTTTGAATTGTTACTAGGGAATTGTGACCACTAATTCTACTCCGTTAATTGTTTTACTGTGATTATGTTGCAAATAGACTATTGTCCAATGGTAACATGTGACATTTGTGAATGCTTTGATGGTCTACCCTTGTGTTTTTCATCTTTGTGCATTTCATACGCTTGGGGTCCCTGTTGTTTGGCTCTTCCTTGCCACAGCAGTGTTTTCTGCTTTCCCAACCAGCATCTTCCCATTGCCTCTGATCCTCATTCAGAAAAGACTTTGGTTCACCACTTTGGGAACCATGGAGATACGTGAGGTGGAAATGTTGTCCGCCTGTGATAGGCAGTCCTGACATAGCTGGGTACCATTTGTTAACTGCAGCTGGATTGTGTGGCTGCAGAGAAAGCACAAGCCCGGTTGATCTTCCTTTGTCCCTGCAGAAGCGGCACTTCTCGTGACGAACTGGGAGAGGAGGATCCTGTTGGCTGGTTTGAAATGGAAGAGGAATGGGACGAAGTGGAAGTCAAGATGCAGCAGTGCAGAATTTCCCAAGTAAAACTTCCGATCCACACATTTAGACTTGAAGACGATAAAAATTTCACTACGTGGTTTAGAGCAGTGGTTCTCAACTGAAAATACGTGCCGAGCGGCAGACCGGATGATCTGTAGTTCGGCAGTTCGAGACCCTAGTGCTGTGTGATGGACTGAGCTCCCGTCTCTGGCCCCATCCTAGCAGTTAGAAAACAAGACATTGCAAGTAGATAAATAGGTACCGCTTCGGTGGGATGGTAACAGCGTTCCGTGCGCCTTGGTGTTTAGTCATGCCAGCCACATGACAATGGGAACGTCTTTGGACAGTGCTGGCTCTTCATCTTGAAAACAGAGATGAGCACCGCCCCCTAGAGTCGGATTCGACTGGCTTTCGAGCAAGGGAAATCTTTACCTTTTACCTTTACCACAGGCAGGACTCAGGCCTTCCTTAACTGTTACTAAGAGTTCACTCTCCCTCAATCCCTTTTAGTTAATCATAGCAATAAAATGTGTTCCCAGTAACACCACTGCAATTTTTGTGTCCCTAGAACTTACCATTAATGATAAATATAATGATATTGTTTTTGCCATCAAGTCACAGCTGACTTACGGCAACCCCATCGGGTTTTCAAGGCAAGAAGCATTCAGAGGTGGTTTACCGTTGCCCGCCTCTGCATCACAGTCCTGGTCTTCCTGGGTGGTCTCCCATCCAAATAGTTGCCAGGGCTGACCCTGCTTAGCTTCCGAGATCTGACGGGATCGGGCTAGCCTGGGCTATCCAGGTGAGGCTAAATATAGCGAAGGTATCAGTGGTTAAGACGCTGAACTGCAGGCTGTGGAAGGTCGGTAGTTCAGCAGTTTGAGACCCAAGTGTGCCGCAAGACGGAGTGAGCTCCCATCTCTAGTTCCAACTCCTGCCAACCTAGCAGTTCGAAAGCAAGAAATTGCAAGTAGATAAATAGGTACCACTTCGGTGGGAAGGTAACAGCGTTCCGTGCGCCTCGGTGTTTAGTCATGCCGGCCACATGACCACGGAAACGTCTTCAGACAGCGCTGGCTCTTCGGCTTTGATACGGAGATGAGCACCGCAACCCTAGAGTTGGATTCGACTGGCTTTCGAGCAAGGGACCCTTTACCTTTATCATTTAATATAACATACACATATAACATAAACATATAAATATTCCTCTCGAAGAAAGTTTTTGTTTCTATCCAGGTGGGACCAGGTTAAGAACATAAGAACATAAGAACATAAGAGACGCCAATGTTGGATCAGGCCAAAGGCCCATCCAGTCCAACACTCTGTGTCACACAGTGGCCAGAAATACCAGTGCCATCAGGAGGTCCAGCAGTGGGGCCAGGACATTAGAAGCCCTCCCACTGTTGACCCCCCCAAGCACCAAGAAGACAGAGCATCACTTGCCCCAGAGCCCCTAGCTATACCTTGTGGCTAATAGCCACTGATGGACCTCTGCTCCATATGCTTATCTAATTCCCTTTTGAAGCCATCCATGCTTGTAGCACCCACCACTTCCTGTGGCAGTGAATTCCAAGTGTTAATCACTCTTTGGGTGAAGAAGGACGTCCTGATTTATATAGGGGCATTATTATATTGGCTGATCTGTTTTCAATACCCTTCCTAATAATCCCCAGCATAGCATTGGCCTTCTTTATTGCAGTCACACACTGTCTCGACATTTTCAGTGAGTTATCCACTACAACTCCAAGATCTCTCTCTTGCTCAGTCTCTGCCAGTTCAGACCCCATCAATGTGTATTTATATTTAGGATTTTTGGCTCCAATGTGCATCACCTTGCACTTGGCCACATTGAACCCCATTTGCCATGTTGACGCCCACTCGCCCATCCTTGACAGATCCCCTTGGAGTGCCTCACAATCCTCACTGGTTTTCACCACCCTGAACAACTTTGTATCATCCGCAAATTTAGCCACTTCACTGCTTACTCCCATCTCCAAATCATTAATGAACAAGTTAAAAAGCAGTGGACCAAGTACTGATCCCTGCGGTACCCCACTGCTTACCACCCTCCACTGAGAAAATTGCCCACCTACACTCACTCTCTGTTTTCTATGAACTAGCCAGTTTTTGATCCATAAAAGGACTTGTCCTTCTATCCCATGATTTTTGAGCTTACTTAGGAGCCTTTGATGAGGAACTTTATCAAAAGCTTTCTGGAAGTCAAGGTAAATAATATCTATTGGATCCCCCTTGTCCACATGTTTGTTCACCCCCTCAAAGAACACTAACAGGTTAGTGAGACAAGATCTTCCCTTACAGAAACCGTGCTGAGTCTGCCTCAATAGGTTTTGTTCATCTATGTGCCTACTAATTCTTTCCTTAATAATGGTTTCCACCAATTTACCCGGTATCGACGTCAGACTGACTGGCCTGTAATTTCCCGGATCTCCTCTGGAACCCTTTTTAAAGATGGGAGTGACATTAGCTACCTTCCAATCCTCAGGAATGGAGGCAGATTTTAAGGAAAGATTACATATCTTTGTCAGGAGATCTACAAGTTCACATTTGAGTTCTTTCAGAACTCTCGGATGTATGCCATCTGGGCCTGGTGATTTTTCAGTTTTTAAGTTGTCTATCAGTTTTAGGACCTCCTCTCTCGTCACCTCAATCTGACTCAGGTCTTTCAACACCCCTCCTGAAATCAGTGGTTCTGGAGTGGGCAAGCACTTCTCATCTTCCACAGTGAAGACGGAGGCAAAAAATGCATTTAGCTTCTCAGCCATTTCCCTATCATCCTTCAATACTCCTTTTACCCCTTGGTCGTCCAAGGGCCCCACTGCCTCCCTGGCTGGTTTCCTGTTTCTAATGTATTTGAAGAAAGTTTTATTGTTGGTTTTTACGTTTTTTGCTATATGCTCCTCATATTCCCTTTTTGCCTGCCTGACCTCAGACTTGCATTTTATTTGCCATAGCCTGTGTTCCGTTTTATCAGCCTCACTGTGACTAGCTTTCCACTGCTTAAAGGAATTCTTTTTACTTTTTACAGCCTCCATTACTCTGTTTGTTAACCATGCAGGCTTTTTCCTATACCTGTTTGTGCCTTTCCTAACCTGCGGAATATATATTTTTTGAGCTTCTAGGATCGTAGTTTTAAATAGATCCCAAGCTTCCCCAATTGTTTTGACCCTTTCTACTTTTCCTTTCAGTTTCCTCCCCACGTGTCCCCTCATATCAGAGAAATTACCCCTTTTAAAGTTAAAAATGGTTGTGTGAGTCTTTTTGGCCAATTCTCTATTTGTACAAATGATGAACTCAACAACATTATGATCACTGTTTCCAAGCGGTGCAATCACTTTTACATCTCTCACCAGGTCTTGAGTGTTACTTAGGACCAAATCAAGGATCGCCTCTCCCCTGGTAGGTTCCGTGACCATCTGCTCCATAGCACAGTCATTTAGAGTGTCTAGAAACTCAATCTCTTTTTCCCGGCTAGAACACATATTGACCCAATCAATGTGTGGGTAGTTAAAATCACCTATTATTACACAGTGTTTTTGTCTAGTTGCTATCTTTAAGGCATTCATCATTTTATAATCCTCCTCTATCTTTTGATCTGGTGGGCGATAACAAACTCCCAGTGTTAAGTTTCCTTTTGGCCCCCCTATTTCAACCCATAGAACTTCCAGAAGCGAATCCAATTCACTTAGCCTCTCAATCTTTCTAGACTTTATACCCTCTCTGACATACAGAGCTACCCCACCTCCAACCCTTCCCCCCCTATCCTTCCGATATAATATATAACCGGGAATCACTGTGTCCCACTGATTTTCCTCATCCCACCAAGTTTCAGAAATACCCACAATGTCTATTTTTCCCTCCCTCACCAAGCACTCCAACTCCCCGATTTTACCTCGGACACTTCTAGCATTTGTATAGAAACAGCTGTAATTTCCCTTACAAGTTAAGCCTGCATCCTTCCTCTTGCTATCTCGAGTCGTTGTCCGGCAGTCCATGTCACCAGCCATGGCCTCTGTGGACAATTTCAATCCACCTCCCTGTAGAAAAGCAACCGGTACCCCCTCACCTCTCTCAGATGAGCCAACCCGAACCAGAGACTTTTCATCTCCTGTCGGCTTTCCCCCAATATTCAGTTTAAAAGCTGCTCTGCCACCTTTTTGATTTTAAGTGCCAGCAGCCTGGTTCCTTCTCGGGACAAGTGGAGACCGTCTCGCCTGTACAGCTCCCTCTTGTTCCAAAAAGTATCCCAGTGCCTAACAAACCTGAACCCTTCCCCCCTACACCATCGTCTCATCCACGCATTGAGACTCCTGATCTCTGCCTGTCTCTCCGGCCCTGCGCGTGGAACAGGTAACACTTCTGAGAAGGCTACCTTGGAGGTCCTGGACCTAAGTTTCCTGCCCAGCAGCCTAAATTTCTCCTCCAGGACCTCACGACTGCATTTCCCCACATCATTGGTGCCGACATGCACCACGACCACTGGCTCCTCCCCAGCACTATCTACCAGCCTATCTAAAACACGCGTAATGTCCGCTACCTTCGCACCAGGCAGGCAAGTCACCATACGGTCAGTACGCGGGTTCGCCACCCAGCTGTCTACCTGCCTAAGGATCGAATCACCCACTACCAAGAGCCCCCCTCCCACCCTGCTCAGGGATGGTTCCTTGGTGCAAAAGGAGAGCCGCTCACCAGCTGGGGAAGAGGTCCCTTCTGAGGGCACATTCCCCTTATCCTCAGCATGGTGCCCTGTTTCCCCTAGACCCTCATGCTCCCTGACAGCAGCGGGGCTGCCAGATCCAGAGTGGGACGTAGCTAACAAGTCCCCGAGAGTCTTTTCTGTGCGCCTAGCTGACTGTCTCTGCTTCTCCAGGTCAGCCACCTTGGCCTCAAGGGAGCACACACGTTCCCTGAGAACCAGGAGCTCTTCGATAAGGTGGGGACATAGGGTATGAAAGTTGGAGGAACTCACTGGTTTAGATGAAAACCATCTGAGCACTACGGCTGTTTTACACATGACATTTGTAGGCATTTGTAGGCATATTCCTGGTCGGAAAAGTGATGTGTGAGTGGGACAGACAAGTATTTGGAAATGCACAGGTATGTTAATCAGAGCTGCATTTCTCTGTTTGGGTCCGCGTAGGGTGGCAAACTCAAGTTTGCTGCTGAATAATGCGGAAAGTTACTAGGAAATTTTGGTCATTGAGCACACATGAGCACTGGGAATGAGCTTTAAAACTGTGTTGTAGAAGCACTGTTGCCCTGACCCGGATGGCCCAGACTAGCCTGACCTGGTCAGATCTCAAAAGCTAAGCAGGGTCAGTCCTGGTTAGTACTTGGATGGGAGACCACCGAGGAATACCAGGGTTGCTACACAGAGGCAGGCAGTGACAATCCACCAGAAGCACAACTGTACTTTCCTCTGGTGATGTCATGGGGCGGGGCCCGGGGTAGCAGGCGTAGCAGCAGTCTGGCCCATGTGACTGTTAGAGCCATCCCTAGAGTTTACATTCCACGTTCTCCATTGGTTTCTGGGATCACACACATTTCAGGCTAAGCAACTTGGTGAGTGAGTTCTGCGCAATGTCACTGTTGGGGTTTAGGCTTTCTTTTAAAAATAATTTTGGATGCCGTGTTCCTTTCAGTATCTGATGGTCAAGTTCCTGTGCACAAGGCAAGAAAAGGCCGAGAGGCTTGGAGTGCAAGGTTTGAGTCTCTTTGGGTACCTTCGGCCTGCGTTAGCAGAGCCCAGCAGAAGCATGATTTGTGTGAAGTGCGGCAAAACAAAAGGAGATACCGTCTGTGGAACGACTCTTCTCCTAAAGACTCTGTGTTTCATCCAACAGCTTGCACAGGATTTGGTATGTTTATCTTCTCTCCCTGCATCTCCTCTCTGAATTCTGCACTTCTGGTTTTAAATGCATGATCCTTTGACCACCTGCTATAACGTAGTAAATCATGTAGCTGCTAGGAAAGAATAATATAGTTGTATGGAGGGGGAGGGATTTATACCCCGCCCTTCACTAACCAAGGGTGTCTCAGAGTGGCTTACAAACTCCTTTCCCTTCCCCTCCCCACAACAGACACCCTGTGAGGTAGGTGGGGCTGAGAGAGCTCTGACAGAAACTGCTCTTTTTCAAGAACTGCTGTGCCAGAATTATGGCTTGCCCAAGGTCATCCAGCAGGGGCAGGTGGAGGAGTGGGGAATCAAACCCGGTTCTCCCAGATTAGAGTCCGCGCACTTAACCACTACACCAAACTGGCTAGTAGCTGCTAATAAACAATAAAGGAGATGCTGGAAAAGAAGCCTTGTGAAATAAAGGGGGGTCCAGGGGAGCCCATTGTTTACTGGAAGACTGTGACCAGTTTACGCAGTTTAGGAATGACAGGTTTTCAGACTACACTGAATTCTTCATTTTTTCAAGGCATAAAAGGATTACAGTTGTAGCACTGTAAAGGCTGACCTTTTTGCCACCGCAAAGGCTTACAAAATTTATTGCATCATAAATCTGAGTGAGCCGGAGCCCAGTTCTTCATATGTAGGCTGGCCCACGAAAGCTTATGCTACATTAAATTAGGAAGTCCTTTAAGGTTCCTCTTGACTCTGCTGTGTTTGTGCTGACAGATGAAAAAAGCTGATGTGTTAGTAGCGCTGAATGCTCTTTAAAACCTTGGGAAATAAAGTTGTCCAGTTTGTACACAGGTTTATGCCAGATGTTACTATAATGAGGTCAATTCTGTTGGAATTTGGTGTCTGAGATAATCTAGTGATTAACATCCCTGCCTTCCCTCCTCTTTCACGGCACTTTTTGATTAAAAAATAAAGGGGGGAGGTGTATTCAGTGTGCAGCTTTTTGTGACTCCATATTCTTTCTAGGCACAGAAGAAAGAGAGTGGTCTAAGGTACAGATCATACCTGGATTTTGGAGGCCTTGATTTAAACCTGTTTTGGGATTTCTACAGCAGACTTCACCAAAAGTAGGTTTCTGTCAGTTAAAGCAAACTAGCTCTAAAGTTTGTGCTCCTTTCTGCTGCTCATTGACCCCCCCACAATGTCCTGTGAAGCCCTGCTTTAACTGAAGTGAAGGCAGTAGTAAACCTTGAATAAAAAGAGCATATTTTGTATGAATAGGGAAGAGCTGGGAATTTGGGATGGGGTATTCCTTTTACTCTGCTTACTGGCCAGATTGGTTCTCAAAGCGGCTTATGGTTTAAGTCCCTTACAATGTGTGGTTCAGCCACTGGAACAATTTGTAGAGCAGTTTCTTGACTGTTTGAATATTACATTTTCTCTTTTGGAGAGAAGGAGAAGCCACATTCTTCCCAAGTTTGACTTGTCACAAATGGGCAGCGGTTGATTAATGAGTGGGATCCTCACCCTTGTTCCACCCCACCCCCCAAAGTGTTCAGTTTTAGTCCTCTCCCTAAACATCCTTCTGACCTTGGTGCTGACCTTTCTACACATCCCATGGACTGGTAGGGGCAGGGCTTGCTTGGTCAGGCTAAGCTGTTGATTCGCAGCTTCTCCTGTGCCTTCTCTAATCCTTCCCCCTCCTGACAGCAACAAGGAGTCTTGGAGGTGGGGAAAAGAATGGTAACAAGAGTCCTCTTCTCTAGCTTCCTTCTGCCCTGCAGTAGTAGCTGCTGTGCTTTCTGCCTATGAATCTAGAGCAGGGGTGTCAAACATGCGGCCCAGGCCCCTGGAGGGCTTCTATCAGGCCCGCAGTGGAACTGGCTTATCTTCTGCTTCTTCCAGCCTTCTGCTGCTGCGTCATCATCATAGGTTTGCAGTTTACAGATACACACCTGAACAGCATACTCAAGATTGCAACAGCACAGACATTTTGATGCAATAATTCAGAGCAAGAGGTGTCAGTTATCAGACACTGTTAAATAAACAAAATGTTGCAAGAGTGCTTGTTTTTATTTTAAGTTAAAAAACCCCTTTGTGTATGTGTCCTTTATAAAAGTTTATATCACCACTACCTGGCATTACATTTTATGACACACATGGCCCGGCCCAACAAGGTCTCATTTATGTCAGATCCGGCCCACGTAACAAATGAGTTCGACACCCTGATCTAGAGAGTAGAAGGTGGCATTTTAGCCAGGATTTCACATGCTGATTTTTTAAAGTGTTTTATTTATTTACTTGATTACCCTGCCTTTCCCCCCAGTGCGAACCCAAGTAGCTGACATTGTTGTCCTCCCCTCCATTTTATCATCTCAAGAACCCTGTGAGGCTGAACGTATGTGACTGACCCAAGGTTATCCAGCAAGCTTCCATGGCATGGCAGAGTGGAGATTTAAATGTGGGTCTCCCAGATCCTAGCCTGACACTCTAATCCTGTGGTGCTCACTCAGTGGTTCATAGAGAGCTATATTTTTCTCCAGGCCAGTTTGGCTGGAGATCCTAGAGGATTTTTGTCAACTTCTGGGTGTGGGACAGCGGTCATTGGGTATGTGTGTGTGTGTGGGAGGTATTTGTGAATTTTCCACAATTGTTCTCCCTCTCCTCTCCTCTCCTCTCCTCTCCTCTCCTCTTAAATGGGCATTAATGGTACTCTTACATTGGTAGAAATGGAGCTTTGTAACAGTGATGTTGTGTCTTTCCCTTCTAGCCCACGCGAGGAGTGCATTGAAGCCCAAACCATGATACTGCGGCTTCTGCAGAGCTGCTTCTCAGTGCTCACTGCAGACAGCAAAACCACAAATTCTCAGGAAAACGCACAGAGCAAAAAGCCTGACGGCACACAAGCAGCTGAGGCACTCTACAAGCATCTTTGTGAAGGTGACCTGTTTTTGAAACCCTCTGTATTATCAACACAACATCATTTACACCTTTTACTTTTTGGGAACACTTTCCACATTGGCTGTGTGGCACAAAACTCCCTGGGCGTGAGAGGATTCTTGGACATGTTCGGGGTGTGTGTGTCTTAGTCTTACTATGATTCATATTTCTGTAATGTAGTATTTAAAGAAGGGCTGTTGTTTCTCTGGCCTGCGGAAGCTTAGAGATAAGGAGTACAATCCTGATAGTTCTTTGTTCCAATTCTGATAGCTCTTTGTTCCTCTTTTTAAAGAGTTTTTTAATCTTTCTGGATGAAGCGAAAATCCAGTGGCATGTATTTTATGCGCCACTATCAAAATAAACATTGTTAGTCTTTAAGGTGCCACTGCATTTTTGTTTCTTCCTGCTGTGGCAGACTCACATGGCCACCCCTTTGCATTTATTTTTCTGAGCAGTGGTAGACAGGAGAGATGGTGAGTCCATGCCACTAAAGATCTTGAAGCGGGAAGTCAACAACACACTACTCAACGGCGCAGCCATCTTCTTCCCCGAGAGGCATACCCGACGGGAGCAGCTCTTTGCAATGATGGTAAAACTGTCTGTATTCATTTGTTAAGCCAGTTTTGAGTCTTGCCTTTCTGGCCCTACAAGGTCCGTTAAAAAGCACAAAAGAGACGATAAAGATTTTGTCACTGTACCAGCACCAAAACCACCATGGCCGCAAACCACTTCATTTGGAAGTCTTCGGGTGTGTGCATTTTCACATTATGCTGGAAGACCTGCAAAGAATGGCATTTGTTGCATCTCCGTGGGATTGAGTTCTGTAATCTAGGCAGGGAAGATGGTTGAAAAGGCCTTCCCAGGAGTCTTTGCCAGCTCTCTGTGATTACAGGTCATCCATGTATCTGTGTTATAAATGACCTAAAGCATGAAGGATTGTTTTAAGCTTCCATATTTAGACACTTGTGTATACACATCTTCTTGCTCGTTTATTTATTTACAAAGTTTATATCAGGGGTGGCCAAACTGTGACTCGGGAGCCGCATGCGGCTCTTTCACACCTATTGTGCGGCTCCCGACAGGGCGGCTGGGGAAGTTGAATATAATTCGCAAACAAATATCATTGGACAGATAAATATCATTATCAATATCTGCTTTTACCACTTTTGTTATTATTTTTGGCAGTCTCATTTAATGTTAATAAAAAACAAATTTGCATATTTACCAGTAATATTTGCTCCTGTCTTGCGGCTCTCAAACATCTGACGTTTATTCTATGTGGCTCTTGCATCAAGCAAGTTTGGCCACTCCTGGCTTATATTTTGCCTTTCAGCCCAATCAGGGTCCCAAGGCTGTTAAAACTAAAAACAGATCAGTATGAAACATGTAATAAAATGGGTTGAAACCAAAACTAAACTACATAATGTGTGTATAAAACACAGAAGCATCCTTTTAAACCTAGGACAGCAAGGACAGAACGTTGGATGAAGCAAAAAGCCTTCACCCGCTGGCAAAAGGCAGTGATAGAAGGGGAAAGCAACTGCTGTAACAGTCTTCAATCTCGTGTTTATGTCACCGTACTAAATGCTTGTGTGTGTTAAATGTCTTTTTTTTCCTCCCCCCACCCAGAAAAACATCACCGAGCAGGAACACAAGCCATCTGCCCATCTCGCTTTCAAATCCCTCTGCACATATTTCAGGTAAACTCCTTAGTTATGCCAAAAGGACAAAGCTACAGACCGTACATCTCAACAGACTTTTCCTCGAAACCCATTATCATCCTAGCTAAGCCCTGTGGGTGTGCAAAGTGGTCCGTTAAGCTTGCTGCTTCAGGCAAGAAATAAGACCCCCACCTTGTGGGAATAATGTCTGGGCCCCAGTGGATGGGGGGGAAAGAACAAGTATTTTAAGAAATGGGTATGGAATGAACATTCAAACAGTAGATGGGATAGTGAGACTGTTTCTTTAACATGTTTGCTGTCCATTGTGTCTAAAGCTGCTTTGGTGTGCTGCAGCTTGCAACTGAAATTCTGCTACCCACCAAGCTAAACTCTGCAGAATACACAGAACTATAGTAATGGTATTCAACATCCTTTGATTTGACATTTGATTCAGTACACCACTTTTTTTTTTTGATCCCCCTGAGGGGAATTTTTAATTGATTTTTTGCAAACTACTAACTACAACCGAAAATATAGGGAGGAGAACCTACATCTAAGGGAGAAAGAAAAAAGACCCACTAATAACTAAAAACCCAAGAGTAGGAGATCAATACATCAGTTTAACTCAATGTTAGTTTTAAAAAGCTATTATAACAATGAACATAGTCAGCTATGCTAGGTTAATTATCTTTTAACTGCTTAAAGAAACCCCCCGAGCATCCCAAAATCGTTTCGGAGTTTTCAGGCACAAATCAGAGTCCTTCAGCCACTATTTATTCTTCTCTTTTCTAATCCTCAATTTATATGCAGTTTTGGGGGCAGCCGCCCCCTTTTCAGAGGGGAGTCCTCGTCAGAAGACCCCGAGCTTAACTCGCCATCAGATTTGCTTTCTTCTTCTTCCTTCTCATCCTCAGCTGGTTCCCCGAGCTGTGTTCGCAGAAATTCACGTGCCTTAAGAACAGAGTCAATCTTTTCTTTTTTATCGTGTAGTTTGAAAATGACGCCTTCTGGGATTAACCATCTATAACTGATGCCATTTGTTTGTAAAAATAGGATTAGCTCTTTATAATTCTTTCTCTTCTTTCTTATGTCAAATGGAATATCTTTTAAAATCCTGATGTTGTTGTCCCCAATTTTCAAGGGAGTTCCCAAAGTTGCTTTCAAAATAGAGTCTCTCACATGTCTCTTTGAGAATCTGACTACTATTTCCCCAGGCAGATTATTTTTCTTGATGTATGAGGAATAGGACCTGTAGACCACATCCATCTCTCTGTAGAGGTATTCCACTGTCAAATCTGTCATTGGGGCTATTGCTTCACTCAGTCGTTGCTTCAGATTCTCTCCTTTAATTTCCGGGACCCCTTGAAACCGTAGGACCAAATTGGCTTTCTCCATTTGCAACTACAAAAGTTGTGACTCTTCCATGGCTTGCTCCATTTCTAGCTTTTGCACCCTTTTCTTTTTACTATTGGCGCCCGTTTCCTTCACCTTCTCCCCGATTTGCTCCATTGCT